GGGGGGGGGGGGTGTGGACCATAGTTATTGCTAAATCAATTGCTTCATTATTCACTGGAGCTTTCAAGAATGATTTTATGGTATGACATCTACAAATGTGTTAAGTGAAAGTTACTCCTTTTAGTGTTCAAGTGGCAGATGGAATTTAAACCCTGGCGCCAACTACTTTATAGTCTTAACTTTATCGCCAAACCAAGGCACCTGTTATGTGTATAAACTAAACAAGTACCAAATCTTAAGTGATGTAAACAATTGATTCCCCACCATTAAAACCTCTACACCCCCCACGACCAGCTTTGAACTGCTTTACTTGAATCTTGAAGAACATTCGAGCTATCTTACAATAATCATTTTCAGTAGACTTCAAGATTAAGTAATCACACAAATTGCCTTGTAAGATGTGCCTTCTTACATACATTGTTTCTGTAACATAAGAAATATCAGCTACACTTGGTCTTAATTTCCTTCATACAAAACTTTATGCCACTTTCATATACGATAAGGAGAAGTCTATGAATTATGTTTTATGCATCGCACTCTGAATTCCCAACACTACAATAACCATGGCAGCTAGCTATGTCATTGATCAGAAAATCAGAAAGATGACCAAACCATCTTCTTGGTAAAAACTCTTGTTTATCATATTAGAAACCTTGATTCAGGTTGTTCCATGAGCTTCAATGTCATCTTTCATTAGTAAGACTAATACCTAAATGCTTTGCACTAGATAGCAAAAAAAGGAAAAAGCAGTTCCAGTATCATCAATTTGGTCAGGATACAGATAATGATTATGAGCCACCTGAGGCTTCATGTGCTCATTTACTGCTTTTTTCTTCATAGTCTGAATGCCACGAACAAGTTCTTGCTGGCTATATTCCTTGATCCTTGAAAACTGGACCCTAATAGCTTAAAACTCCAGATTTTGCACTTAATGATGTCTTCCTCTGTTGTTTACAAGCAGGGCCAATAGATATTATCGTCAGAAATTGTGATGCAATTTTATTTTCCAATTTCAAATAAATTGGCATTAATGCACTACTTCCAACATTCCACTGATTAGTTTAAAACTTTCAAAAAAATTCCCAACTCTTCCTTTCTTCTATGCCTTTCTCCCAAGAGGGGCGAGCTGCTTGACATAACATTTACGTGTTCAATATATTCTCCAGCATTGACTCTTACAAACTCAGCCATTAGATCAGCGGCACATGTCGGACGCACATGACTTCCACCTATGCCATTATTTCTTATATCTAACATGCAACAATTATAGAAAAATACCATGGGCTTTTCGAAGACAGAACTTACACGAATAATTTCCAACGTTAAGAAAATTGCCAAAGCTGCACCAAATGCCAGTTCAAGAAATGCCGACTGCAACCAAATAGAAGTTCAGAGAATAGAGGACGAATCAGCTTAGGCAAGCAAAAACTGCTAATCAATATTTAACTCACAACAAAACGATTTACCAAAATTTCAAAAAGACCCTTAAAGAAAAGAATCCCATATCACCTGGAAGATAAGAGCAGGCAAAAACATTGAAACAGCCATCAGATGGTAATATTTTCGAAGAAGAATTCTCTCGATCTTACTATTTTTTGAAATGTTATAAAACCGTAGCACGGATACGTATATAACAACCACCCAGTAGATGCACAATGAGAGCCTCTTGAGTGGTTCTGAGAAAACAAAATTAACAATCCTGGCAAAGAAAAATAAGATGCAAGACTAGTATGTTATTCTGACCAAATATCGCAAAATGAATATCCAGAGTACCAAAACAAACTTGAATTATCAACCAAATCTATTAGGTTTGATAGTTCCCATAGACACTGCATATGTGAATAAAAAACAGTCCAAGGGCAGGCAACAATGTGTTGGATCTAATCGGTCATACATTTTGAAGATTACAATTCTGCATGTTTTAGTCATTCCAGTGAATCAAATTTTTTTCACATTTTACCAAGGATGGACATAGATGGGTATAGTAGAGGACTTGACTCTCAATCACATTTTTTTAGGTAAATTCAGTAACAATTTTTTGCCGAATCCAAAACCTTTTATCTCCAGGTTAGATAACATGACTAAACCAAATGGTGGCACAATGAGGATAATGTATGAAGGTATGTACCATAACCAAGGATGGACAGGAAAATCTTGAACAAACTGCATCCATGATGGAATGATCAAAATAAAGATAAATGCCAGCAATGCACAAAATATAACAGTTCTTCCAATCTCATGGTATGCTCTATGTTCAACATGAGCTGAACTTGTACAACATTCCCAGACCTGGAGAGAAAATTTAAGGAACATTGGAAAAAGAAGCAGACCAAGCAGCATGCCCTGCACGAAAGAAAAAGGAAAAAACTTCATCATCCAGCTCAAAACCATCTCTAAATGTTTCCCCTTTTAAGTGGGTGGGGGATGTTAATATAAGGATCAATTCTATGACACAAGCAATCATACCTGAATAATGGTGCTTATCTCACTTTTTCTGATTACATATTGCACAAAAACTATTTCTGAGGATGCCAAGTATCCATTAATCTATTCAGACAATGATTGTTGATCTTAAACAATAGTTTATATTACTGTCTAGTATGAAGAAAGGATATTTTATTGGGCACTAGAAAGAACTAACCTTTACAACCGTACATGCAAGCATATCTCCAAAATAGATAACAAGACCAGTGGTCACCAAAAGCGCTTCCCCTAGAAAGATAGTGTGTAATGTAAAAATAACTAGTTGAGGTAATAAGCATTAGACATTAAACAAACAAATCCAAGGACTACAATATCAAAGCAAAAAACAACTGAGAGAAAGAAAGATACAATTTGTGCAAACAATGACAGTTAAGGCTGAACTAATGAAAAGAAAACACTGGAAGCACTTAANACAACTGAGAGAAAGAAAGATACAATTTGTGCAAACAATGACAGTTAAGGCTGAACTAATGAAAAGAAAACACTGGAAGCACTTAAGACACGTCAAAGTTGGCGATGCTATTTTGGATCCATTGCAATGTATTAAATAAGTCGATCAGATCTGCTTGGATTACTTTAGTGAACAAAGGTAGTTCCAACAAAATTCACAGACTAAGTAGTTCAAAACTAAGCAAATACACAAACATGAGACAGATAGNACACACTTCAAAGTTGGCAATGCTATTTTGGATCCATTGCAATGTATTAAATAAGTCGATCAGATCTGCTTGGATTACTTTAGTGAACAAAGGTAGTTCCAACAAAATTCACAGACTAAGTAGTTCAAAACTAAGCAAATACACAAACATGAGACAGATAGATAGAGATAGAGAGAGAGAGAGAGACAGACAGAGAGAGGAATTGGTTATCACAAAGTTTATGAAACTGCATCAACACAAATCAAATCGACACATGACAGAGTGATCAATTTGTTTGGATTCCTGTTGACATGCATAATTGATCATATGAACATATAAATAGACTACAGACATAAATAGTTCGCCAGTAAATATTGAAGTNTCAAATCGACACATGACAGAGTGATCAATTTGTTTGGATTCCTGTTGACATGCATAATTGATCATATGAACATATAAATAGACTACAGACATAAATAGTTCGCCAGTAAATATTGAAGTCTGAACCAGGATAAGACACAATTTGGGCTATTAACAAACTAAGATATTTGCACCTTTTCATAACAAAGGCCGGTGTGTGTTTGCTTCTCTTAAGGTCTGTTTCTAACAAAGCCAAAAGGGATCCATATGTGATTATGTATCAAATTGGTAGAGGCAGAGTTAATAAATTGCCAACACTACAAAAATTTTCTTGATTTTCCATGGGCAGTAAAAATTTTATCCAGTCTACATAAGAACAAGTGCATCATGAAGCATTCAGGTTCATTCAAAGATGTTAAGTTTCCACTTATAGGCTATTTTTCTCAACAAAGTAACTGCACTCAGTGAGCAAATGGAGTTACAATAGTAGCAACACGTACCAATAGACGCACATGCTGGAAAAGTATGAAGCACGTGCTGAATTAATTTTACTGCTGCCAATCCATGACAGAGTACCCACAATAACATTACTGCAGTGTACCCGCCTGCAAAAGGATTGAATCACACTATGAGTCATCAATAATTGGAGACTTGACCCCACAACTGAAAATATCAGAGAGATATATCCGTTGGGATGCACAAACCATGAGAATTAAATAAATTTTGCCTACATCCTCCGCTATGAAGCACAGATATGGATACGGCGATACAGTAAAACCTTAAAAAAAAGATATGGGTACGGCTAGGATACGTCCATGAAATATTTTTTTTTAAAATTTTATTATTATATTTAATGTAATAATTATGATTTATAAAGTGAATCACACATCTATCAAAGATATATAATAATAACTAATCATTCTATTATTGAGAACTCATACATTCATAATTTTTTTTTTTTTTGGGCAAATAAGGGACCAACACATATTGGTTCTGGTGCCCTTATTCTTTTTAAAAAACTCAAGTAATGCCCCTTCGTATTCCCGCGTATCCCAACATATCCTGAAGTATCCAAAATTTAAATTTATTTTTTTTAATTCTAGGATACTTCCCCGCCGTATGAGATACGTATCCGGTCATATCGGACACATATCCGTATTCGGGAAGTATCCGATACCGATACTTTGACCTTTTTGAAGTATCCATGCTTCATAGATCCTCACTCTTCATGTCTCAACCGAAGCACACCAAAAAATTGCTCGTAGATGCATTTGCATAAACTTACCACAATGAAATTTCGTAGCGAAAGATACACAGAACACAGCTGCATACAGGGCTATGAAGCTTAAGCTAAATTTGGTGCTCCAGTCGCTATGGAAAGATATGGAATGATTATCATTGGGAAGGTGGGGAACGATGAAGTAGAAGAAGAAAAGCACCCCGAAGCAGCAGGCAGACGTGGCCCAATATTGCAACCGCAGATATTCAAGCTCTGTGGAAGGGAAAATTAAAAAACTGCATAAAAAATATAAAAAGAACAAAAATTTCCCGTTAAATTTTTATAAAAAAGAAATAGCTTGGAAAACACAATCACAGTGGTTATAGAGGCAGCTTGCTTAGAAATTAACTCTCTTTAAGTCCATATCCTGTTTAATATACTACTAGATTAAAGATTCCAGTTTTTTCCTAATTTTGAGACCAAAGATATTACCTTCAAACTTTTGATGCTCAACAAGTTGACAACAATTTTAATAAGGCTAGGCTGTCTTTTTTCTTTTCCTTCCAGTAACGACAGGCTATGATCCAGAACTTCTTATGGTCTCAGAGTTACATCAAAAATAGTGAGAATTATGCGATTATCATGGAAATGTTGGTGACATAGATGTAGGCTAAAGTTAATGACGGTTTGATATCAGATAAAAAGAAAATTTAGCGCTAAGGCATTATGGTGGTGGGCAAAGACAAGCACAGGTTGAGATCTTACGATAGCACCATTGTGAGTACAACAGTCAGAAAAAGAAAAATATTGATTTGGTCATATAAGTGACTACAACAGTCAGAAAAAGAACAAGAAGGAGAACAATATAAATTTTGATGAATCACCCAGCCTTACCTATTAAAAACAATCAACCGAGCCTTACCAACTCAATATAACAAATTTAAGGGATTTCTGCATTGACCATCTCAGACTATAGTATCTAGAAATCTGATCAGTTCATAAGCATTGTCATATCATGGAAAAACTGTGTAACGTTTGAAGAGAAGTAAAAATTGGTCCAACTTTAAGGCTGAAGCCCCTAGAAGCTGCTTGACAGCTTAGAAGATTAAGATGGCTAGTCTTTAAGATGCAGAGAAAAAGTATCACGCTACCTTCAGAGTCTATTTCGTGTAATGACACAACTCTCAATAGCTGTATCAACCTTGAGAACATAAGACCGGGCAGCGTAACCGCCCCCAGAAGAATCCCCGACGAAGCACCTGCCCTGAATACAACCAATTTCGCCAAAAACCTCAAAGATTGATACATAATCACACATAATTCAGCTCAATATAATCATTTACATAAACCCTAATTGACCTTTATTTGATCTTAATAAATCACAAGGTGAAAAAAGCCTAACAAACAACATTTTGATGGAACTGTGAAGGTTTGAATAGGCGGAGGAGATAGTAGTACCTGGACTTGAATTGTGCGAGGGATTCGGAGGAGAATTCGGCGGAGATCTCGACGGATAGGGCGAAGAAAGAGAGAATAGAAAGAGAGAGAGCTTCATGGAGGAGAGAGAATGGAGCAGAAAAAATAATTTGAGATATGAAGAAAACAACCACGGCTGTCTCGCCGTTCGCCAGCGATGAAGCCATGGCCGCCAATTTCATTTATGTTTTGGCAAATGTATACACAGAAGAATTCAAATTCAATCGAAAATCGAGTTAACTCGGGATAAAACTTGCAGAGAAGATGAAGACGACGACGACGAGGATGCTGATGATGACAGAGATAGTGTTTGGCGCGCAGGAGGTTTTGCGCAGGGCATATTTTGCCTGTTTGGGGGTTACGAGTTTAACGGTCATTAGGCTCCTAATAGGACTGTTCTTCTGGGAATGAGTAATGCAATTGAACCTAATTTGTTAGATTTAATTTATTTGACTTATGAAATAATTGGGAGTTTCGTTAAATATTAAAATTTGGTGTTAATTTAATAGCTCTAATGAAGTTATATTATTATATTAATAAATTATGTCAAATTTTTTGGTCTCAATAGCATTGCTCATCCTATGTGCTTAACCGTGGAGTCCAAAATTAGGATTGTGCCTCTTTATATTCACTTTTTTAATTTTTCATTGATTTTGAAATTAGATCAATACAAATAAATAGGGGTGTTTAAATTTTTGATTACCCGTATATTTCGATTCTATTTGACCTTATTGATTGGTTACCACAAAAAAATAGATAGGTCAACGAAAATTTCTTTGGTAGGACGGTCACAAATCTCTATTTTCACCTAATTTAATTTTTTATTATTAAATTAATAAATCTACCCCTTCTATACCTACCTCATTAGTAACTAAGCCTATTACATGCTACATATATCCAATTAATAGCTAAGTTCACTCATTTTATGTAAAATTCTTTAATAAAAAAATGTCATCGTAAGAAAAAATATAATGAATAAAACAATTAGTTTGAATGCATAAATATATTTGCGAAATAGNCATTTTATGTAAAATTCTTTAATAAAAAAATGTCATCGTAAGAAAAAATATAATGAATAAAACAATTAGTTTGAATGCATAAATATATTTGCGAAATAGGAAAAAAAAAACCAAACAAAATTGAAACTAGAAAAAAAAAACCAAAAATTAAACAAGTAAAAAAAAAATATGTTGAAACAAAAAAAAAAGAAAATAAAGAAACAAGAAAAAAAAACATACCAAAACAAGAAAAAAACAGAAAAAAATAAGCAAACCGTACAAGAAGGAAAAAAAATCAAGAAAAGATTAAAGCAACAAACAAAACTATAAGACGCAAAACCAAATATATAAAAAAAAAAAATCAAACATAGACACAAAATCAACACAAGAAAAAAAATATAACAAACATAGACGCAAAACTTTAATAAGATAAAAAAGAATCAACAATTTGAAAACAATATGAAAAATATACATATATATACACATATATAAATTCTAAATAAAAAATTATTAAACTTGACAGAAATGTCAAAACATACTAAAAATAATGAAAATTCATATAACAAATATGAAATCAAACGTATAATTAAATTGAGAACTGATACTAAACCTATATTTTATTGAAAAAATTTATATTGAAAAAGTGTTTTTGTGGGTGTATGAGATGAGATAGAGAATTAAACCTTAATTATGACAAAATATAAAATGAGTTTACTTATTAAAAGAAATGTATATAGTATGGGGTGAACTTAGTTACTAATGAGTGGGTATAGAAGGAGTAGGTTTAGTAGTTTGATAATGAAAAATTAAATGAGGGTGAGAATAGAGATTTGTAGGGTGGAAATAGCTCCACCCTTTTTGTTATTTCACAAAAATCGGATAAGAATGCGAAACACCTATAAAAACTTAGCATCGATTCAATTGTTTCCAATTGTACTCATTTTGTATATTTTCACTCTAAATCATAGTTATTAGAATTGGATTGATCATCGAACCGGTAAAGAGGGTGAGTTAATGATTCAGTGGTTCAACCAGAAAATTAATTGGTCATACTGATCGTATAATAACAATTTTAAAATTTAAAAACATAATAATTTAATTAAAAAAATATGAAGAATATATTTTTCTAGAACAAAAAAAATTGACAAAGCATAAAACCCGTACATTAGAATAAAAATCACAATCACATGAGAATTAAAATTCCTAATTAACTTGAGAATTTCATTTCATGCCTCCCAACAAGCACAATCACAACATCCAATAGGACCAATACCCACGGCCTCCAATAGGACCATTACCCACTACCACTCACAAGATAAGACTTATCTTTTATCTTCCGTATAAGTTACAATCTCCTCTCTTTTGTGTCTTCCATCGAGTATATGCTCTGTGTGTGTATGTGAATGAGACATAGAAAGATTGAAATAAAAGCAACGATGAAGAGAATACGAAGTTGAGCTCTAGAGAAGGGAGAGTTTGAGACTCGAGTTCCAGAGAAAGGAGAGTTCGAGCTGAGTTACTGGTCTATGCTTGAGCTTATGCGTCATCCACACTGGAGAAGAAGAGAAGACGAAGTTGCCTAGGGCCAACTTTGCCCCATTTTTTATTATTATTATTATATATGAGGAGTTACATGAACTGCCCAGATTATATGAATCGCACGGTTCACTAGTTTTACAGTCTTTTAACGGTTCAAATGTTCAAGCAATCTATTAAGCAAACCGGACNCTGTCCAGATTATATGAATCGCACGGTTCACTGATTTTACAGTCTTTTAACGGTTCAAATGTTCAAGCAATCTATTAAGCAAACCGGACCGGTGTAAAGCCCGATTCAAGGTTTGGCTGGTCTAATCACCCGATTCGGTCCGATTTCTGATAACACTGCTCTAAACACAACCAATTGCATTTTTTTTTGGTTCTCAATTGCATTTAATTGAGAACACACAAACATATATTCAACATGCAATTTTTGCTACATTGTTTTGAGAGAATTATATTTTACACTATAAAAGATTTATAAATTTTTACTTTATATTCTTAAAGATTAGATTTTTTACATTACACTTTTAACGTATTAAAAGTATTTTAATGTAAATCTTTTGAAGTATTTTAATGTGAATATATAAATAAACGATAGATTATGTACTCAAAAACTTATAGAATAAATCAATAATTAAAATAAAAATGAATTACTTAGCATCTAATTCATTATTTAATTTAATTATACAAATAATTCATAGTTTCTATATAAATGAGAAGAGAGAGAAAATAGTGGGAAAGAGAGGAAAAGGATAAGAGAGAGAAAGAGTGGACAAGAAGAGAGAGAAGATTTCTAAAAAAATGGAGAAGAGAAGGAGTTGAGGAGGAAAGAGAGAAAACGTGGGAGAGAAGAAAGAAAGAGAGAAAATGTGGGGGAGAAGAAAGGGAGAATTATTAAAAAAAATGGAAGCAAGAATGAGAAAAAGGAGAGAAAAAGTGGGAGAGAGAAGNAAGAGTTGAGGAGGAAAGAGAGAAAACGTGGGAGAGAAGAAAGAGAGAAAATGTGGGGGAGAAGAAAGGGAGAATTTTTAAAAAAAATGGAAGCAAGAATGAGAAAAAGGAGAGAAAAAGTGGGAGAGAGAAGAGGTGAGAGAAAAAAAGAGAAAGAAATAGTGGGGGTAAAAGGGATAAAAAGATTTTTAAAAAATGAAAGCAATGTGATACACTCAAGAGTACTCTAGTAATTAATCCTAACTCAATTCAAGTATTGAAAATATTTGAGCAACTAAATTGTTCATATTGAATTTAGGTTGATTAACCTAATATGTTTTTTTTTAAATTTTTTTTTAATTCAAGCGAGACCCATTATATATATATAAATAAATTTTACACTCATTAATGTAGATGATCTGCTGAGAAAAAAAATTAAAGATAAAATATATTTAAGAAAATTTCAATCTTTCGAATCCAACTAAAACCCCAAAAGTNACTCAATTCAAGTATTGAAAATATTTGAGCAACTAAATTGTTCATATTGAATTTAGGTTGATTAACCTAATATGTTTTTTTTTAAAATTTTTTTTAATTCAAGTGAGACCCATTATATATATATAAATAAATTTTACACTCATTAATGTAGATGATCTGCTGAGAAAAAAATTAAAAATAAAATATATTTAAGAAAATTTCAATCTTTCGAATCCAACTAAAACCCCAAAAGTTATAAATAAACTCTAAAAAATTATTAAAATTTTTTTACAAAACTTGTAAATAAAATTACAAAAAAAAATAATAATAATATTTTTGTTACCCTTNGTTATAAATAAACTCTAAAAAATTATTAAAATTTTTTTACAAAACTTGTAAATAAAATTACAAAAAAAAATAATAATAATATTTTTGTTACCCTAGTCTTCTCGCTAGACAAGCGAAGGAATTTTATTAGACGGTCGTAGGTAGGTGACCACTAGCTGCTAGGTTAGATTACTCCAAGAAGTCTCGCTTTAAATGTCGCCTCTCTCAATCCTTTGCCCAAATTTCTTTACCAATCTCTGATTTCTCAAATCAATTATCGTATCTCACAGTCGAAGAAGATGAGTCACCCAGCCGAATCCTCTGACTCGTAAGTCTTTCTCATCGTTGACTCGGTTTATTCACTGTAATTTCATCAATCGGAGATAAATCCACGGTTCGATTATGAAATTCGATGTCGAATTTGAGGATTTGGAATGGCTGACAGTGAGGGATTTTGTTTTTGTTTTTCAGGAAAGGAGGGAAGAAGGACTTCTCGACGGCAATACTGGAGCGCAAGAAATCCCCCAATCGCCTCGTCGTTGACGAGGCCGTCAATGACGACAACTCTGTCGTGGCTATGCACCCCGCTACCATGGAAAAGCTGCAGCTTTTTCGTGGTGACACAATTCTAATCAAGGTATTTTGTTTATAGATCTATTATTTGCTTTCTTGTTTGTTTTGTTCTCTGTATATTATATTATTCTTGGATTTTGTGAATTGGGTTTTTTTAGAGTGTTAGAGAAATTTGTTCGACCATTTCCAATGGTAACCCAAACTCTTATCCAAATTTGATTACAAAAATGGGTAAAAAACTTGATTTGGTATAGAACTCTCTACCGGAGAAACTCAAATTTAATGGTTGACAAACCCAACATTAAATGTGGACAAACTCAA